GTATGTTATCCTCTAAGTACTAATATCTGCATAGTTGCTGAGACATGACTGGACAAAAGTGGTCAACTGACAGGCCAACTGACCAGCACTGCCATCTCTAGAGCCACAACACTAGGATGGCTAAAAACATTATTTCAATCGTTCTGTCCTCCAACATCTTCACATCAAATATACAAAATATTTAAAGCAAAAGATCTGTTCACAATCAGCTATTTGTAAAATGCATGTGTAATGCCAGGGGAAAACCCAATGTCAAACCCTTATCTGGGCAAAATAAATCCAGCATCTGGCTGCCATGAAAACATCTTTGAACATTGACCATTGCCTGTGTCACTACCTTTTGACAGAGGATTCTCTCTTTTTTAAAATAAAATCAAATAAAACAAGAGACAAATTGCCTCTGAATGGCTCTCTTTGTTCTTCTATAGTCCCTCTGACTGAATGATATCTGCCCTGACCTCTAGTGACCTCTGGCTTAAGGGGACAAGAAAGAGGGAGAGTGGACAGTGGTGTGCAAATAGAGAGGGCAGTGTGCACATTTGTGTGTCACAGAAAGAGAAGATCAACAGGGAGAAATAAAGTGCATGTGTGTGCGTGCCTGCTCTCATTTTGCCCCTGGGGTATAAGTCCTGTGGCTCAAAGACAGCTCACAACCATGATCTCTCACTATCTTGAAAACATAATAAAAGTGTCACCATTCCCTAAAGGAACACATGAGATCAACTCTATTTAGAGTCCTTGCTCAGGTAAAGACAGGTAAAGATAGAAAAAAAGTGACAACAATCATAAACCAAAATGGACCAATACTCAGAGAAAGACACAGATACACACAGCTTCTGTGCACACGGTCCCAAAAATTCTGCGACTGCGTTCTGGCTCGTTACCCCCTATGTCATGTGATATCTTTTCGGGTGTGTTTCACCCACAAAGAGGGAACAAGTGAACAAGATGGAGCGGTGAACAGAAAGATTGATAGCCACCATCTTCTTAGAACATGTATCATCTGCCATTGTAGCTGTTGCCAAAACACAGTGACTGCTGCTACAACCCGTTAAAATGTCACTGCTAATGATGTGGGTTACGCAGCTTACGTAACTAATGTGTTGTTCATATGGGGTTTGGTATCCTGACCCTTGAACCCAGAATGGTTAATTGTTTAATGATCTGCTGTTAAGCGTAGAGAAGAAAAATAAATAAATTGAGGTTGAAATTAATGTTTGTGTAACTGCCATTTTAAGATTTTTTTCACTGATATGAGTTACGCATTTTATTTAAAGCTGCACTAACCGACGGTGTTTATGTTAATAGCCAATCAAAAGACTACAGGTGATGTGAAAGGAATCGCTCGTTGTCATAAACCCACTGAAAAATTTCACCCAACTCTGCAGCTTCCCTCAGATCTACAGACAAATATAGCATCCTTCATTGTTTTGGTTCTGTCTCAAATACTTGCATCATCAAGCCCTGATACACACACTGAATACTACCTGCTCAACACCAAAAGTTACCAACTAGCTGGTGAATATAGTGAATTTAGCAGTCATAGAGCCAGATATGTCCGTCAGGAGTTGGTAGAAACCGAAAACAGAGCTAAAAGATATTGAATATTTTTACGTTTGTCAGGTATACAGTAGCTATATTAACTTTATAAGGGGATAACATACATGTCAGTATTGTGTTTAACGCTTATTCAGTTGCCATTTAGTGGTGAAAAACATGTATCATTAATGCTTTAACAGTTGTACACATTTGATAAATAGGCAAATAAAATAGTCCTACAAATAAATCTTCTGCAAACAATAAAATTTAAGTGTTTTAAATAACAAAGTAGGCCCCACCTGTTTCACTTAAACGATCAAATTACTGAACTTCTGTTTAAACTAGTAAGTGATTGAAGAGCCTGATGGTTGAGAAACAATCAAGTGCGCCACTATGCTATCTGAATGCACTCATCAGTGCTTGCCTACTCTCTGGAACAGTGACTCACAGAGAGAAGGGGGGAGCTGAGATCTCCTTACTTTATTCCAGTGAGAACCACAAGAAACCAAAGGAACCAGGAGACTGTGATTCCCTCAGGTAATCCCACGCTCACTAGTGCATGGCCAAGCAGACCATCGTGAGAAGAGCAACTCTGCTCCGTTTCTTGAAGGCTTCTCTTTGCACACTGAGTATGACTTTGTCTTTGTGTACCACACTATGGAGACAATTTAAAGACACATTTAAAGTCTCTAAGGTAAGACAGTGTAAGCAAAGCTTACTTAAAATATAGTTGTCTGTGTTGCCTGGAAAGGTGCGCTTATCCAAACAGACAAGCCATGGCCAAGTTTGGCATCTGTCACTGAAGCTTACTCACTGAAATTTAGCTCAGAAATCTCTGATGCATACTGCAGCTTTTGTTGGCGTGATAAACCTATCTTGAAAGGCAAAACAAATGGCTTCCCAAAACAATCAGCCTTAGAGAATCCAACATTAGTACTCGATAGCTATTAGCTTAATGTGTCAACAGAGTTCTCAGTGCTCTCCTTTTCTATTTAACTGATGTGTACAAGAGGCCTGATTCTCAGGTGAGGCAGTCTCAAGTGGACTTGGATGGTTTACTCAGGGTGTTGAGTCTCCTGGGAACTGCAGGATAGGATGTCAGCTGCTGCTTCCTGCTTTAGCCAGTAACAGGAACTGGCAGTGGTCCAGTGTGTTCCTGTGTGTGTGTGTGTGTGTGTGTGTGCTGTCAGACAGAAGACTGGGCAACAAGCCCAGGTACAGCAGAGCCCAGGTGTTCCTCTATGAAGAACACAATGAGCGTGTGCAAACATGGGGGGACAGACAGGCAAATGGAGAGGGATTGGTATCAGAGAGCACACCTGTTGAGCACCTGCCCTATTCGCTCCTGACACACTGATTATGGATGCAGCAGTTGTAAACAGACACACACAAAAAGCATCAACCTGCACATTTCCTTCAAACCCCACATACTGTAACAGCGTAGAGACAGATCAGCGATGTCTTTAGTGTCAGTCAGTCAGAGTAAGTCATTGTTTCTCTCAGACCTCTAACTACTTTTGAGTCTTTGCAACTTTTCTGTCACTTTCTCCCTGCCTTTCTCTGCTCTCCCGCTGAGTTCTTCGGTCTCTGTGTCATTAGGCAGCACATCAGGGATTAAGACTGCGATGGGAGGATGTGATTCGCAGCAGAATCCACTAAGTCTGGCATTACCACACACCTCACAAAGCACAGGGGAGTTTCTAATCCACCACACAGCGCAATCCTGCTAATGCATTCATATCAGACACACAGGCAACAGAGGTCGGTAGAAAATTAAACACCGAAATATTTCTGTCAAGTTCAGCATTGATGTATCATGGTTGTTTTTCACATTTAAGTCTGCAGATCCCTGCATTCTGGCAATGCGGTAGAAAGAACAATGCAGAAGTCTGAATAGCAGTCTGACAAATACATAATTGCACTATAAAACACTCACTGCATAAATAATTATATAGTACTTAAAAGTTATAAGAAAATGAGTTATAGCTTGCAAATATGCAACATACCACTCCCAGTCAAAGAGAAAGTTGAGCTTTTATGTCTTTGTGTCATTGTGACCCTCTGACTCTAAAGATGCATGCACCAAGTCGTTTACATGATATAAATCTACATATTTAAATTTTTAAGCAGAACTGCAGCAGTGAAATAAATGCAGTTAAGTGTCCAATCAATGGGGGAAGGTGGGGAGGAGACATTATGTGTGAGGCTAGCAGTAGTACTTTGTGACATGCATCATCAGTTCTGTCTTCTCACTATATCTCCCTAATGGGAGCACAGCAGTGTGTGTGTGTGTGTGTTTATGAGAGAGAGAGCGATGAGTCCCTGTCAGAGTGACTTGTAGAGACTGTGTGTGTGTGTGTGTGTGTGTGTGTGTATGATAGAGATAGGGACTAAATGAGCTCCTGGCGGGACTGACCCTCCTCACTGGTCCGTCAGAGAGACTGAGCGCTCCACTGGAGCATGGCCACAGGCACAGTGCTGAATACTGAAAACACACACACACACACACACACACACACACACACACACACACACACACACACACACACACACACACACACACACACACACACACAAACTTTACACTTAGGAGAAAGGCGGCTTCTCAGATACACACACAAGAAGAAATACAAAAAAAATAATAGGTCAATGTGCATTTCTGTTCACATGACATCACAGTACGGACACAACTTGTGACAAAATGCATGTGTTAGTTCATGTCTAAAGCAAATACCATGAGAGCCAGACCTAGCATGCTCCCCCAATGTGCAGTGTCGGGTTCACCAGCAGTCATAATTATGATTCATGTCTCGGAAAACAGCCATGCATGTACACTATGAGAACGTTTCCTACTGCCTGAAGTGTGGGAAAGCACATCAACAGTACATATTGTGGGTGTATGTGTGCTGTTACAAATGCAAGTTCTGGGCTAAGTATAATTATTCTTGGTGACATACCTCACATGACTAATGAGTAAAATTTGGGCGCGCGGCATCGAGCTCATTTGTCACAGGATGGTAGGTAAAGCTTCAGTGCGTTCAGCTCCTGTGGAACGCTGTTAAGGTCGTGCTAAACGCTCATACCATGCTACTGCTTGATTAATTTCACATGTTTGACTTGCAGTGCACAGAAGTCAGTGGAACACCAACAATTAGCAGACATGACATGTACTGACGTCACACTCATGTCCTTTTGTCACTGTTGTGATTAACTCTGTGTATTTTGAGTGCATAGCAACAATGAATATCACTGAGGGAATCCTGTGTCAACATCCTCACAGTTATACTTGTTGACATACAAGCAGCCTTTCTCTTATTAATGAAAGGCCATGACATGGCATGTAGACCAATGAAGACATTACTATAGTCAATACAATTTAATAACCCATTATTGATGGTGTTTAAAGCTTGGAAATTGAAGCAATCCAAGAGAAATAATGGCAAACTTACACCCCATAAAAGTAAATTGACACTAGGATTTTTTTATTTATTAACTTTTAAGACTCAAAGTAATGGCTGCATGTGCATTTAACAACTAAATATAAACCTTCAGGGATAAAGAAACATAAAACATTACAGGTAGTTAAGATAATATCAAGGTGTTATGTAAAGTATCCAAATTAAATGCCTAATCAGCTGCTACACTGTTTAAATGCAACCCTTACTTTATATTGTTACAATTACAGAAATACCGTTGCAACATACAACCCCAATTCCAATGAAGTTGGGACGTTGTGTAAAATGTAAAATAAAACCAGAATACATTCATTTGCAAATCCTTTTCAACCTTATGTTCAATTGAATACACCACAAAGACAAATGGGCTTAGATATGTTCAAGCATTTGAAAAAAAAAAGTCAGAGTCACTGCCGGCTGTTGACGTTCATGACACTTTCTCTGCACCAGAGCCATTAGCTAAAGGGTTCAGTTTTTAAAGTGGAAATTCCAGAAATGTATACAATATGCTAATTTTCTCTAAGGTCATGTAGCCAGAAGCTGATGCATATCTTGGTTCACACTAACCTGATAACATTCAAATACATTTACTGAAAACTGAGAAGGTCCTTTAATCTTTTTTCACATTATGCATTATTTGTATTTCCTTACAAAGAGATTCATGCATTTGATTTTAAAAGCAATGAAACAAAAAACACACAACAAATAAGTCATAATATAATGGAATCATGATGACAAAGCAAACCGTAAAATATTTATATACCATATGAGCCGATTGAATAATCGCACTAACCATTACATTACATTATTGTGAAAAATAGCTTGCATGTCATCCTGCCAAACATGGGTGTAAATAAATAGGTTGTGCAGCCAGATTCTTTCCATTGTGCTAATGTCAGTAGTTGGTAATGATGACCTTTTAGATAACAGGTGTCACATATGAAGGTCTATTAGGTCGGGCTATCTATTGTTACACATGAGTGACTCATAGTGGTGGAGGAAGGGTTCTGGATGTACCAAGGCCAGATAAAAACCACTGGGTGACGGTACGGGTGCACACTTATCATAATGGTTTCTTGGACATTTAGTCTTTTACTAGAGGTCGGGAGGTCATGGGAGAAAACCTCAAAATCGGTCTCACATTTCGAGAATCATGTCAGCCAATACACAGAACACAGTCAGGCACAGACATGAGACTTGTTTTTAAAGCGACTCAGTGGTGGGAAAAAAACTTGTTAGGAATGAAAGACGTCACAAGGCCTCTTGTGTATTTGGTCTTGGCCTTTTATGCAGTGCACTAATAATAGAGTCACATCCAAAACAATGCATCAATTGCCTTTTAGACAACAGTATTGCTTTTGCTAGTTAGCTAGCTGAGAAAAACATGGAATAGAACGTGATAATATGAAAATAAATGTGCAATTTCAAACAAAAAACACAAAGCCCCCAAACTCTGCACTCGTTTGAGAGATTCTTTCTTCTTTGTTAGCAAACAGTGGAAGCACAGGGACCGAAAAGGTTAAGCCTTGCAGTACTAGTGCACAAAGAGTTAAGTGAGATCCGTGGGATAAAGAGGCTTTGACAAACCTTCATATTCCTTTCTATAGAGACGCATCACAACAATAAATACATCTGACAAGGGAAATGATCAAGGTGTTCCATATAAGAAACATGTAGACTCACTTCTATTCAGTAACCATTCATCTCTGTAATTTCAATTCAAATGAAAGAGTAGGTTGTTATTTGTAATGCTAATCCTGTGGATGTCCGTGCTGCATGTATGTGCTGCAGGTACAATGTGTTATTCTGTATTCTGTACACATGTTCAATCAGGACGAGGGCTTTGTGGATTCTAATCTCACACTTTGTGATCTCCAGATATCCAGGAGGGGAGGTTTGTGCACTGGAATCTGAGGCAAGTGTTTGTCTCCATATGACGAGAGGTTCAGCTGGAGATTTACATTTTTGGAGACAACAGTGGGATGTGACTCCACAGAATCTGATTAACAGAGCTTGGTCTCGACTATAGTTTGGAAGACTTGTGTAAAGAAGAAGGATCATCTCCTTTGCTGAATGTAGATTTTGCAACAGAATGTTATCCAAGAGGTCACTGACTTTCTCGGGGAAAGGGGAATCTATACTCAGATCTGGGCTCAAGAAGAAATTAACATTTATGGATGCAGAAACACGTTATCATAAGAGTCATTGATTACATTTTGACACAACATCACCTTACAAATGCAGAAAATAAAAAGGAAAGAAAAAATTTTGTGTCTAGATAGAAAACTAATTTCAATAGTGGCCTGAAACTTGAGTTATTTGATGCATTGTGTCATTTCTCCTGAAGAGGCTTGTCATTGTCACCGTGTCACCAAAAATGTGTAAAAAGGCTGACAGACTGTGTCGATTATTCCCAAACTAAACACAGGCCATTAGGTCACCATTGTGGCCATTAGGACTGAATGTGTTCCTTCTTCATCCTTCTTTCGTCCTGGTGTGGGAAAACAATAAAGTCGTCTGCACAATGGCCACCTCTTATTAATCCACATCCACATCCAGGTTAATCTCGGTGCTCAGGTTGAGGTAGAAGAAGGCGTAGACACAGAAGACAAACAACAGGATTGCTGCAATGACCAGGAATGCGTCCTGAGAAGGAAAGAGACAATTTTAAGACAGCGTGTTCTTCTGTACAACTATTTATGTGCCTGATCATTTGTCTGTCTTTATGCGCAGGAGCAGCTTTACTTTGTGGTTGCATTGTTCTATAATTATTGTGTATTTATTAGTGTTGTTGTCTATATTTGCCAAGTCCCTATTGTCTTTCTTTTCAACTAAATTTGGTGCATTCCTAATAGAACACGGACTGTGTATGTAATATATTGTTTATTAGCTTGTTTTGAAAACTACTTTAAAAAAAATAAATATAAAATATATTTAAACCGTCATTTCTGTATGTGCTATTAAAGGCAAAAGTAATTATAGGACTGTCAATCATCGCTTTCATCTCAGCCATTAAAGTGAAAATCTGTCTAAATACAAAGATGTAAATTGTTCAAAGTAAATTAAGCATGGTGTAAACTAAGGATGTTCCCAACTACTAATTTCCATGTCAATTAATCAGAAATGTAAATTTAGACTAGTTGACATTCAAAGAAGGATCAGAAGGATGTCATATCGGTTTGCAGAGTGTGGCTAACGTTGGTGGTGCAAGCACCAGCAGCCTACTCTCCTTGCAGGTTGACATCCATATCCACATGCCTGTGTTAAATGTAGATACGCATTGCTCCGGTCGAGTGGTTATAGGCCAGTTTATTCAGACACAGCCTACATACAACCTTATTTTCATTGTCTAGACTAAAATACTGCCAACCCGCACTGGTTTTATGAGACTGTCCCACTTTAAACCTCGCTGGTTTTCATCTGGGCATTAGCACGGAGTTGTACATTAATATAATATTAATACTTAGTTTAATTAGTATTTCTAGTGCTGACAAAGCAAGGGTAGCAACATCCAATTGAATAGTTGACTAATTGCTCACGTCCACACTATTCCAGGTAAATAGGAAAACTCTGTATTAAAATAAATTTTCTGTCCACATATTACTGGACAGTCTAAATGTCAGCTCTTCTTTTATTTCAGAAGCAGTTGACAAACAAACACTATAGTGCACTGCTGGTAAAGGTGTTGAAAACCATTTGAACCTTTTGACAGTGCTTGTCTTTGAATGGTACATCTTTGTTTTGCAATCACGAATTTTGTGTTTCATTACACCAAACAGGCATCTTCACTGGCTTTATTCATGTTTCAGTGGGTAGATGACAAATACTGACGATTTTGTAATAAAAATTCTGGTGTTTTTAAAGCCATCCACACTGAAGAACATTTTTCGAAAGCTTTGTTTACAGCATTGGAAAACGCTACTGATTGAAGCTTTTTTAAATGTACCTGCATTTGTGTGGAGATGGTTTCAGACTCTTACACCAGATACCCCCACAGTAGGTGTCTGTGATGGACCTATTTGCATATCGATCACACAAACACTCTCAGCTGCTTTGCGAGATTCACTGTAGGAACTCCTGACCTGATGAAATGTTAGGTGACATGGACCGTAAATATACTACAGTAAAATAATGTAATTTACAATAGCTTGAATGTCATATAGTATATATTTATATCAAGTCAAAAGACTATAGGGTTTGTATAGTTCACATAGAGGAAAGTGTTACAGCACATTACATACCTAAGAACGAAGCATTAATTTGTTTCAGGTTTTCTCTGATGTAAAGAGCTAAATTAAAATCATACTGTGGAGTAAAATTGGAGTCACATCCAAGAAAAACTTCCAAAATGTACAGTATCACATTTCAGAAACCAAGCACTGACTGGCCACAGCAATATAATCCATTCTATCTGCAATCAGTCTCCACAGTTCTCCTGACATTTTTACTGAGAAGTTAAAGTTTCTTCAACAAAATGGCCTATTTTCTTTTAGATTTTCTATTGGTTAATTGTCAAACAAATTGAGGCTTTCCAGAGGAGTGGCATTCAACTTGAAAATGGGAATTTGGAGCGCTCGTTCATTATGTGGCACTCACTCGATTACAATCTTCATCAGCTGGAGTTTCATTAGGGCCACTCAGAGTATTGAACAATGCCAGTTATTCTTTATCAAGTGAACTCATTAGCAGCAAACTTTCTAATCAACACTGGAGAGCTTGGAGAGCTTTAAAAGAGTACAGTCTGATTGGGGGTTATTCAAAAAGAAATATTTGATTTGAACATTGAAATGAGTTTTTACATTCAAACTGGGCCACGACAAAGGTGCCGTGACAAGTGAATTTAAAACATACGATTGTTATCCTACCACTCATAACATGTGACTCCAATTTTTGCAGATACAAATAATCTTATTCTCCTATATATGGATTCTTTAAGACACTTGGAGGAAAAACTACCGTAATCCTGTCAAACTAAATCACTCTGCCACTGGGCTGGGGCGATTCATCGAAATACATCAGAAATACGTTGATTTAGTAGTGGATTGGCGGAGGTTGAGATGAGTACCCCCCTCTTCACTCTGAGGCGCTTTGAGTTTCTATGATAAAGCGCTATATAAATGTAATGCATTATTATTTGCATAACGTCACACAACATGCATTGGCGCATCACAATCAAGTTAAAGCAGGTATTCCCCCCCCAGAGAACAAGCTGAAAGTGTTTCTGTAATTCACTTAAAATTCATTTTCTAAATATTTCTTCATCGCTCCCATATTGAAAGAAATTTCTGTACTGCAGCTGTTGGTTAATGTAATGTTAACAGCATGCGTCATCAAACGTTCAGCCATTTTATATTTTCCGTTTATAGCCATAAGTGAGAAAACTGTTGCTACAATCTGTGTATGTTAGATTAATTGATTAAAACATAATGCAATGTGAATATGAATGACAATTTGAGAAAACAGAATCAGTTGAGTAATTGCCATACGTAGCACGCACACAACCCACTGGCCAAACAGCAGACAGGAAAGACAGAATGCAAAACAAGAGTGAGAATGAGAGCGAAAACAAGTGAGAGATAAGGCTCTGCACAAACGAGGGGTGGTGGGGGGCTAATAATAATTCCTCTCTGACGAAGGGGGTGGGTGTGGGGGGTGACAATTAAAAGGCGTCACAGCATCCACAGCTATCTGTGTACATGTTGTAGTGCCTAGTCATCAGCGGCATTGGTCTTCATTAGCCTCAGCCCACATTTATCTACATCCCGGCAGCCTCCAAACAGCTTTAAGTCCTCACTTAATTGGAAAACTTTTAAATTTCATGCACTTTAGTTTCATATATTAACCGCCAGGCTCCCACCGCTTGATTTACTTTTCTATTTTGCCTAGGCCTCGGAGAAAAGAGAACTGTTATCAAATCACGGAGGCTTGATTGTTTTCTGCTTTTTCTTGTGTTCTCTCACAGCTTTGAAAAACATGTCAAAGAGTTTGTAATTCTGCCGACAATATCGCAAAGAAAATTTTGTGCTTCTGACGCAGGTAAGCACTTTGTTGAATTGCCACTGAAACAAAAGGACCCATGAAATTGCAAACCAGCCACCCCCCCTTTCTTTGCTTGAGGTTTCATAGAGAATGAGAACAGCTGGTTACAGTGACTTGTCTATGAAAACAATCTGGAGGGGTTTTGGTGAAAACACTTGAGTTGTAGGAAGCACCTGCACTTGATTGAGATCATTGTTTTCGAGTAGAGTGGCCCACTGTGTTGACTCTTGCCTTGTCTCACAAAAACACACACACACACACACACACTCAGACGCAAACACACAGCCTCTCTGCCCACATTCTGATGGAGACCCTTGGATGGGGCCCAAGCACATCATCATTTTCATCGTGTGGCTCTCTCAGCAACGACAGCAGCTCCAGCGCACTCGACATACTGGGAGCTGGGTCCCTGTCACCCTGGCGACAAGCCACAGCTCAGCAGACGTCCCCTCATCTGGTCCGCTTTTTATTCTCCTCCTTGGTTTGTTTGTGTGCGTGTGTGTGTGTGTATGTACGTCAGTCTGCATGTGCCTACGTGCTAAGCAAGAGAGATTCAGTGTGTTTGTGGCTGTGTGTGGGTGGCAGAGAGACACAGGCTACAAACAACTGTTTTGCATTTGGGCAGCAGCTGGTAAGCATGTATCCTCTGTACTATCCTCTGTGTTATTAGGTTATATTTCATGACTGTGATATTGGGCTATATAAATAAAATTGACTTGACTTGCCTGGTTAAATAGAAGTTGCTGATGATTCTTTTAATTGCTCGGTGGCTGTAAAAGGTGATTTTCCACCTTGACGCCATAATACTTTCTTGTCCAGGAATCAGCAAACACTATACCGTCATACTCATTCATTTAACATCATTCCATGGCTGTAAAGTAACAGCTATTGTCAATATCAATTAATTAATCTATTTAGTTTTTCCAGATAAATCAGTATCTAATTCAGGAAATAGTGAAGAATGCCCATCACCATGTTCCCAGTGCCAGGTGTTGAATTGATTGTCCGACCAATAGTCAAAAACAAAAAGACAATCAAGTTTCAATTATATAAGAGACAAACCACACAATAAAAACCTTGCATGTGAGAAGCTAGAACCAGCAAATGTTTTGATTATTTGCTTGATAAATTACTTAAAAATGTAATTACTGATATCCCTTTCTTTCATTTGACTAATCAGATAATTGACTAATCATTTCAGCAATAATCTTTGTATCACATCATAATCCTACAATGAAATGACCTAAATTGATTAATATTTTTGTCTTCTGATTACCTTAACTGAAACAAATAGGCCAACAGCGAAAACTATTTCTTTTATACAACCCTGCCCTTTCTATGCTCTTTAGGGACACTTACAAAAAACATCTCCAGGAACAGCAAAAGTCTCATCACCACCATCACAACTCATTGAGTCTTTTCATAAAGCTATAAGCTTACTATAAATGAAATGGCATAAAAAGGCCATAAAACCTACAAATTCCCATGTGCTAACTGTCAACGCTCCTAACCAACTTGAAAGTATGAATGAGCCTCATAAACCTAATGGCCAGCACAGATAACAGATCCAGTCTGCTTCAGTGACAGGCTAACGCAGAAGCTACAGTTTGGAATCAGACTTTCACTATAGCATCCCTCACGGTTAAATACTGATACTTTTTGCTTAAGAATTTTTTAGTCTCGATGATAACTACTGTGCCTGTTCAAATCAAAATAGCTCCTTCAAGACAAAACAAGCTGCTTCCTCACTCAAGTCATATTTGTATGAACATACAAATTGATAAATGTAAAACTGATATGAAAAGACAAAAGATATTTAGAATTCTGTGCATAACAACACAGAAAAACTAGAATCTTACAACATACATTCACAAATGACAGCTGGGAGATACCCAGCATCATTATCTGTAGCCTCCATCCTCTGCCAATTCCATAAGCATTTCCCCCCCCCAACTTTCTAGGCTCATCGGCTAAATAAGACCGAGGGAAAACAGTGCAGAACTGAACAGAAGGCTAGTGTGCCAATTAGACAAGGCAGCAGGCTTGTTTCCTGTGCTGCAAGCTAGTCTGCTGGAGCTACTTCGAAGGCGCTTCTTCTTCTCTGGGCAAAGTGAGGAGAGACTGCATCCGACTTCCTGACAGTTGCTTTATCTTTACTGTCGTGACCCCATGCCATCCAAAGTGTGACGGGGCTGCACGGGAAATATGTCCACACTTGCATTCGAGGAGCAACAAGCTACCTCTGTAAACACACTGTGACTCACTGTATGGATAAGAACAGGCACAGATTCAACAAGAGGCTGGTTTACGCTATTTGTGAGGTCAACGCTTTGTGCAGCGCAACAGCTGATCACTGCTGGGGGAACAGAAGTTCTCCCTCTCTCACTTTCTCTTTCTGAGTCTCTCCATGCTCTTCTCTGCCAACTAACCCAGACTGTCCTGCTACTAGGATAGCCCAAAGACAGCCTGTCCTGGCAGCTGCCAGATTCTCTGTGCCGGCATGTCTGCTGGCCCTTCTGAGATGCCAGCTGCATCTGAGACCAGCATCTGAACCAGGAACATGGTGAAAGAGGGAGAGGAAAAGGAGAGGGAGGAAGAGAAGAGAAGAGACAACACTCTTTGCACACTGCAACATGCCTACAGAAATTGCAGCCAAATCATTTCTGTCAACCAAAGGTTCAGAGACAGAGCGGGGGGCTTTCTTCTCTCATCACAAAGCTGTGTAAAAATCACAACTTCATATAACACTAAAAGGAGTCGATGGGAAAGCAAGCATGACCAAATATCCATTACATTCGGGCTGAATTTCAATAAAACTCGGGGCCAAAGGGTCTAAGTCAGTTTAATGTGCTCGTCCCAGAGGTATTTTTAATCCGACCTCTGAAAATTCCCCTCGTCTTGGGTGTAAAAAACCTGAATTATTCATAAGTGATATCAATATTTCAAGATATGGACTAATCTAATTGGATTAAAGACGTGCCTAATGAAGCCTTGCGTGTCTAAGAGATGCATATTTTAAAACCTGACCATTTCACCCAGTGTTTAATCCTCACTATGATTTGTTCATTTCTGTGTATTACGTGCCAACTGAAGCTTAATGAGGAAGTGAAGCCTATTGGCTTTTGATGTACTGTAAACAGAACTAATTTTTAACGCCATGAAGAAAAATAAACATGCAAAAGAAGACAACATTGAACGTGTCTGAATTTTTTTTCTTACAACTGATTTTCACTTTTGGCAGCTATAAAAATCACCAAGTGCCTTATATCATGTGATGCTATCTGCAATTTCAAAGAGGATTTAAAAACCTATGAAGGTAGTTCACAGGCCATTTCATTGGCAAGGGCTTACTCTATATGGAGAAACCTCAAAATAGTAAAACTGTTTATTGCTAAGCCAACTGATTGAGAAAAAGCATAAACAACGGTGCCACGTTTGCCAGAGTGATAAACGTGGAGTCATCCATCTTTGCCTGCACAACAGCTCCTAATCGCTGCAGTGTGACAAAGCAAAGGAGAGAGATGCAATTTCCTATCCTACCAAGGCCCTCACATCCCTTTACTTTCACATTACCCAACACTATCATATCACATCCTTATTCCTTTTCTTTTCCTTCTCAGCATGTTACATTCCCCACCTCTCTTTCACATTTCTCCTTTAACATTAAAGGAATAAAAAAAAGCTTGAATTTCCTAATCCTTCCACGAATTCATTTTGTGTCTAAAACCTGTGTTATGTCTTCTTCTTTTTTGTAGACATGATAGAGTATTGTAAACTTCATTCTATGGCGGTCTCTCCCATTCTTTCCTTTTCCCAACAATAGCTTTCAGCATTTGTATGGATCTTCAAAGGACAGGCAGGGGCCCCATCACATCATTTCAGGTAGATAGATAATGTTACATTCCCAAAAGACCAGCACTAAGATGTACGGGAGCTAAGAGTCTGGGATATGAAATGTGATCTAGTTAGACATGCTCTAAACTAGGAAAGCAGACAAATGGAAAGAAGATGGTTGGAAGACAGACAGGCGAGCAGACATAATGGAAGACATGCAGATACAGACTTCAGTAGTGCTAAAGACAAAGTAAGTTCAAGCTAGTCTCACCCTGAATCCTGAGGAATTCTTCTTTGCTTCAGCTTTCAGCCGTGTGGCCTTTAAGACAGACTTTGTCTTTTTGTAATCCTGCTTACCTGAAAGAAAGAAAACAATTGAAGCACCCGAATCAAATGACTAGATGTACACGGCTCAATCGGCTGGTTTTCAGCTTGATCGGCCATGAAAGGGTGACCAATCACTCTCACATATCCAATTCTGTACCGGTAAAATTTACATGAATCGTGTGCTGCATGATGGATAAAGTCACACACACAGCAACACAGACACGACTACTGTCACAGCCACACATACATACACACGCTAAAACATGTCATGTGCATGGAAGTTCTCTACAGTAAAGTGAAGAAGACACAACGCTGGCAATTTGTAAAGCTTGTAGGGCCAAAATAAGCCGTGTTTCCCCACACAGACTTTATTTGTGCAGACCACCCATGTAGATTAACAGTTGCCACAGTTATATTTGGCGGCCAATTTTAGCAATTTGCAGAGAAACACAAAAGAGAGAGAGAGACACGTTATCTGGTCTAGAAGACATGGACACTAGGGGTGGCAATCTCTTGGCACCTCACAATTCGAATACGATTCAGAGGGTGGCGATGCTATAATAAAATTATCGATGCATCTTGATGTATCATTTTTTCTATATAGGATTTCTGGATAATTACTAAGCATTTAATTTGCGCATTAAAATCCAAAAGAAACATCTATTCATTAGCTGCAAAGGACTAGTTTGCATCCATAATTTCCTTCATTAACCTCAGCTCCATGATCACCACTCATTTCTTTAACAACCAGTTGTCAGGCTCCTCCCAAAACTGAAATATAATTATCAGGATGTACAGTGTGTGTACAGGACAGAGCTGTACACCACTTTAGTCTAAGCTTGTACCTGATGTTCTCAACCATGGACAAGTAGGTAAGTTAGTAAGGACACACAGCTAATTAACATTACTTCGTTACTAAATTTAGCTAACGTTACATGACAGCCAAAAAACATGCTGTACAGGGGAGATGTTAGCTAGCACTAACCGCCTTCACTTTTCCAGCAGTTTGGGAAACTACAGACTTTTATTAACGAACACACTGTGAACTACACTGCACATTTACTACCAGACTGAAACCGCTAACTTTTTCCGCTAACGTTCAGTGCCATGTTCTGCCGCTCGCTCTCTCTCACTCGGCCTCACACACAGGACATGCAGGGAGCTATCAAAGGCCCACCATGCTCGCATAGTGTGTAAGTTCAACTCATTACTTGTGCATTGATATTAATGATCGTGTGAAATTTTAGTAGGGTGGTTATTCATTCCGCAGCAGTGGTGCTGAATACAGTGGGAACACTGGTCTTTCTGTTAGGTGCTCCACTTCCGGGAGTTTCGCCTTCTGTCAACATTACGTGATTTTTTTTCTCCCACCCCTAATGGACACGGTGAATATTTTACAAGGACGGACCAGCTAAAGCAACACTGAACACCAGGGTGGGTTAGGGTTAGGCTCCATCATTAACAACAAGCCTCCTCTACATGCGGCTCACCTGCTGCTGTGAAAAGGCAGGTGGAGAATTAAGTAGAATTGAAATAGTGAGATAAAAAATAATAGGGTAAATTATTTAAATATTTTCAAGTAAAATATCTACAGTATACTGTAACGTGGTGCAGTTTTGCAGAAAATGTATAAGTATTGTATAAGTATTAAAAAGTAAATGTTTTATTATGAACATACAACAACAGGTTTCATTCATTGCCAGGCAAGCAGAATCTCCAAAAGTTACTGCTCCTGGCCAAGAAATAGTCCCTCACCTAGCCCACCACAACTTTGTTATTTTAAGAGGTTTTTAACAAGTGAGATATAACATCCAGCAAAGGTTTTGTATATTTGCTTGATAAATTACAGAAAAATGTAATGATATCCATCTCTTTCATTTTTACTAATGAAATAATTGACACTTCCCCGCGTCCCTGTACACAGGATAAGCGGTTGGGGATGGATGGATGGATGGATGGATAATCGACACTTGATAGGTTTTCTGGTGGGTTTGTTGGTACTGGTAAGCAGATCTATTACCTTTAGACAGAGCCAGGCTAGCCATTTCACCGATTCCACTCATTATGCTAACCTCAGCCAACCATCTCACTACTACAACAGGGATGTTATATTTAACTGAAACCAAGTTACAAGCACAATATTGCAACTCATGGGATTACCAAATTCTACTGTAAAATGAAATGTCACATGATTAACAAAATGAGGCAAGACCTGAGCTTCACACAGTTCACCTGTACTTGCTTTGCCTTCTCATGGGCTCTTGTGGGCAAACCAGCCACCTGGCCTAGCCTGTGTGTTTGTGTGAGTGTATGTGAGCTCGCTTCACATGAGGCAGAGCCGGCTGTCTTGGTCTAATTAGAAACAACACACTGCAGGAAAAGGAACTTTGCTAACAATAGGGTGGAAGTGCAACAGCTTGCTGAACAGTGTGTGTGTGTGTGTGTGTGTGTGTGTGTGTGTGTGTGTGTGTGCGCGTTCTAATACTTCTATCTTTGTGAGAACCAATTTATACACTCAGAGGGTAGACGTATTAGCGTCCTTAAACATGTTTTTTAGAGATTTAGTTCAGGGTTAAATTTAGAATTAGGTTTAGGTTAAAATTAGGTTAAAGGGTGAGAGTTGACGTTAGACATGAAATTCAGTGGACTAACGTTCAAGTTATTGGCTGGGGAATAGCTGGATGGTTCTCATAAGAAGAGAGGTACAATAAAGGAATATGTGTGTGAGACAAAGACTATACACCCGGGTCAGCTCCTCGGTTTTCACAGTTGTTGATGTGACATGCGGAGGCCACTTGGAGTTTTTACTCCTAGCCAATTATGCCTCATTTACATTGAAAAGGAACAAAAGGAGGAGAAAGGAGAGGAAAGAAAGTGTCTGTTTCGATCTGGAAAGGTTGTGGGAGAGTGAAAATTAGCTAGTGAGAAGGGAGGGCAGAGGCAGTGTGTACGTGTTGTGATTCTGAAAACAAACAGACAGAGCTCCATACCACTGAGTATCATGTCTCCTGGGGAGCAGAGGTTCTCCTCTTCTGGGGGCAGCCACAGAGGAGAGAGATGACCATTAACGTGGTGTTAAGCAGATGATCATTCTCACTAGACACACACACGTTCTCTTTTTAAACCATCTCACTCCCCCTACTTGTTTTTCACTTCCCATCTCTTTCTCCATCCCTCCTGGTCCCAGACTCATCCTCCACCTCCCTCTGACTCAGTGGAGAACTAATAGAAATGGGGAGCATGTTGCCACGTGCAGACAGTGAGCTAGTGGGAATTCATTAGGAGGGCCACTGGATGTCTCCTCCACTTGTCAGAAAGTGAAGAGGGGGAAATTTGATTGGAGGGCACCTCAGGTTGCTCAGCATTCACAGAAATTGCTGAGACTTACAGACTGCAAATGGCTAGTTTTGATAATGTAAGACTAGAGGATACTTCATCAAATGCTACAAATTCCATATCAAAGGGGGGGAAAAAAACACAGAAAGCCAGATAGATTGTGAAATGTGTAAAAATGTACAGAGAAATATTCAGTATGTAATTATGCTATTTTTAATGTAATGAATTTAAGCCTAATTGGCCTCACATGGCAGCTATAAACAGAAATTTGTAAAGGCTCCAGACTAACTTTTCCACTGGTAGCACTGGTGCTACCAACTTGCTTTGGTCGCACCCCTTTTATTTTGGTACATGTACAGTGGGTACGGAAAGTATTCAGACCCCTTTACATTTTTCACTCTTTGTTTCATTGCAGCCATTTTCCAAAAATCAAAAAAGTTCATTTTATTTCTCATTAATGTACACTCAGCACCCCATCTTGACAGAAAAAAAACAGAAATGTAGAAATTTTTGCAAATTTATTAAAAATAAACCTTTTGAGCTAGTATAGCCATGAGTCTTCTTGGGAATTGGGAAAGATGCAACAAGTGCAACAAGTTTTTCACACCTGGATTTGGGGATCCTCTGCCATTCTTCCTTGCAGATCCTCTCCAGTTCCGTCAGGTTGGATGGTGAACGTTGGTGGACAGCGATTTTCAGGTCTCTCCAGAGATGCTCAATTGGGTTTAGGTCAGGGCTCTTGCTGGGCCAGTCAAGATGGTCACAGAGTTGTTCCGAAGCCACTCCTGTGTTATTTTAGCTGTGTGCTTAGGATCATTGTCTTGTTGGAAGGTGAACCTTCGGCCCAGTCTGAGGTCCTGAGAACTCTGGATGAGGTTTTCTTCCAGGATATCTCTGTACTTGGCCGCATTCATCTTTCCTTCAATTGCAACCAGTCGTCCTATCTCTGCAGCTGAAAAACACCCCATAGCATGATGCTGCCACCACCATGTTTCACCTGTTGGGATTGTATTGAGCAGCGCCTGGTTTTCTCCACACATACCGCTTAGAATTAACGCCAAAAAGTTCTCTTGGTCTCATCAGACCAGAGAATCTTATTTCTCATAGTCTGGGAGTCCTTCATGTGTTTTTTGGCAAACTCTATGCGGGCTTTCATATGTCTTGCACTTCCGTCGGGCCACTCTGCCATAAAGCCCCGACTGGTGGATTGCTGCAGTGGTAGTTGACTTTGTGGAACTTTCTCCCATCTCCCTACTGCATCTCTGGAGCTCAGCCCCAGTGATCTTTGGGTTCTTCTTTACTTCTCTCACCAAGGCTCTTCTCCCACAATTGCTCAGTTTGGCTGGACGGTCAGGTCTAGGAAGGGTTCTGGTCGTCCCAAACTTCTTCCATTTAAGGATTTTGGAGGCCACTGTGCTCTTAGGAACCTTGAGTGCTGCAGAAATTGTTTTGTAACCTTGGCCAGATCTGTGCCTTGCCACAATCCTGTCTCTCAGCTCCTTGGGCAGTTCCTTTGACCTCATGATTCTCATTTGCTCTGACATGCACTGTGAGCTGTAAGGTCTTATATAGACAGGTGTGTGCCTTTCCTAATCAAGTCCAATCAGTTTAATTACACACAGCAGGACTCCAATGAAGGAGTAGAACCATTTCAAGGAGAATCAGAAGAAATGTACAGCATGTGAGTTAAATAT